GTTTCTGAAGCCATGGTGAATCAAAATGTCGAAGAAGATGATGGATTATTGCGGAAGTGCTCTGATACCATTTCAGAATTATAATAGTGAAAAATATATGGATGATGATGAACTGTTGTATTGCATTAACTTACAAGATGAATCGTACTAAATGTATTTATACTGATCTATACATTCTAACTAACTAACAAAAGAAGCTACTAGAACAAAGTTTGTTACAATATGCTATACAAAACTGTGTATCTATCTTTTATCCTTTGTCCAATGACTCGGCTTCTTTTCTTTCTTGATTCTCGTTGACTTTCTTTCTCCAATAGTTAGTGCCCTTCTTTTAAAAAATGGTAATAACTACGACTAGTTAAGATCAATAATAGATTAAAAGGGGAACTTAACAAAAGAGGAGTAAAATTGGGCACACAATGTAGCAAATAAAAGATAAATAGAAATTGTCATAAATAGAAGTTTTTACTAAATAGGAATAAAAACGTTTTGAAATTCCAAAATAGGACTTTCATATGTTTATTCCCTAAATATGAGTAATTCTGCCATTTTTGGAAACAAATATCATGTTTAAAGCTTCACAAGTAATTTACAATTAAGAAATAGGGCATGCAGTGATTTACATTTAAGAAATCTCCACAAGTTTAAACATCACTTCGGTCCATGTGCTATTTAATGAATGAGTTGCTTTGGACTTACAAAATACCTTTTCCGTCCAATTAATTACACCACCGTTTGATGCATCTGTCATGTTAAAAGAATTACGGGATATATTCAATTTGTTTAAAGAACAATTAATTACACATACACTTAACATCCAAATCATTTAATGGATGTATCCTTTGAATGGAGATTCCACACAGTGCAAACTACAAAGGATACATATGTTTTTCCTCTTACATTTTTTGAAGGAAAAGTACAAGAGTGATCAAAGAAAAAACGTTATCCTTCAATTCCCATTTGACTATGGGCCGATCATGTGTAAAACAATATATTTTAGTAAACATTATATGTTTTGTTCTTATTGAGTGTATTTTTGTTGATCATCAACTAGCCACTTATATTAATTAATCAAGTCGTTTGACAACTGGCTTACAAGAAAATCAGGAACACTATCATACTCTCTCTTACAATCTGAGACTAAGACATGCTCTTGCCAAAGCGTGACTGCATGAGCTACATGTTGCTTCTATCCATTCTCGGCTGCTGCTTCCTAACTCCTAGTAATTGCGCTTCCTTCAAGCTAGTTAGCACACTTGTAGCACAAGTAATCACCCCTGCCGCACCCATCCACTCATTTTTCCATATCAAAGTGTTCCGCCTCTTCCATATACTCCAGAGCAAGGATATAAATTTGCGCGGTTGTATATACTCCATATACAACAGCTGCAGCTATCTAAATTCTTCCATATACTCCAGAGCAAGAATTTAGATAGCTGCAGCTGTTGATAAAAAAGGACAGCTGCCGCACCCCTGCCAACATTGCCAAATCAAATTCTCGTAGCCTTCTAAATCCCAGACCACCTTCCTTCTTCAGTTTGCATAGGACCTCCCACCTGCGCCACCTTATTCCTTTTTTATCAAACTTGGTTCCTTTCCACCAAAACTCATTCATGAGTTTTTCAATTTCATCACACAAGTCCTTGGTTAATAAAAAAACATTCATAGCATATGTGGGAAGAACTTGTACCACATTTCCTATAAGGACCGCCCGTCCAGCACGAGAAAGGAACCTGTTATTCCAATTCTTTATTCTGCTCAGAATTTTGTCACGCAGATAACCAGAATGGCTGATTTATTCCGGCCCACCAATGTCGGTAGACCCACATATCAGCTTTGTCCTCCTTCACTTGGCATTCTGAAAAATTGGTAGCATGTCTCTCTAGCAGACTCCTCCATGTTCTGACTAAACGATAGAGAAGACTTTGTGAAATTGATAGCCTGCCCGGACGTTTTCTCATATGTATGCAATTTATTTTTTATCGAGTTACACTTGGTATTATTAGTTTTATAAAATAAAAAGCTATCATCCGCAACTAATAAATGAAACTTTTGGAGCTCCCCTACAAACTGTTACACCATGAATATCCCCCGGGCCTCCACTCTTCTCAGCAAAGTACTAAGCCCTTCTGCCACTAGAATAAAAAGATAAGGGGATAGCGGGTCACCCTGGTGAAGTCCTCTCTCAAGAAAAAATAGGGCCCAGAAAGTCCTTGATAAATTAGATATAATAACCGACTGAAACACACATTCCATAATCATATTCACCCACCTAGTGTCAAACCCCATTCTATTCATACGCATTCTTAAAAAGACCATTTAACACGGTCATAAGCTTTACTCATATCCAACTTCATAACCACATAACCCTCTTTACCGTAACACTTCCTTTTCAAATAATGTTGGGTTTCAAAAGCAACAACCACATTATCCACAATAGATCTTCCAAGAATAAATGCACTTTGATTTTCCCCAATCAACCCACTCAAAATACCCTTCAACGGATTAGCCAACACTTTTTAAAAAAATTATACACCACATTACATAAGGCTATCGGTCTCTCGTCTCCTAGATTCTCTGGTTTCTCTTTCTTAGGAATTAAAACAATATTAGTAATATTTAAATCCCGCGAAAGAGAACATGACTCAAAAATACCTGAGCATAGATGTGATACTTGTGGACCCACAATGTCCCAGAAAGCTTGGAAAAAGGTCGGGTTCATGCCGTCTGACCCAAGTGGTTTTTCCGGATGCATGTCAAAAACTACCGCCTTAACTTCTTCTGGACTGATAGGACGAAGCAACATCATATTTTGGTCAGCCGTCACCCAGGATCTAGATGTAAAATCATCTATCATCTTCTCCTCTTCCTACCTCTGAAAAAGATTAGAGTAATACTCTCGTACCATTGACCCCACCCGACATCGGTCAGTCACCCATTCCCCCGTCTCCAATCTAAGCCCCATAATTTTGTTGTGTCTCCTCTATTTGACCGCATTATGGAAAAATCGGGAATTAATATCCCCTTCCTTGAGCCAAAACTCCTTTTCCCATTGTTTCGGGTATAAGTTTCCTTTCTCCATAAGTATGTACAGGATTGCCCGAACTCTAAGAAATTCAGACGTATTCTATCAATCATCTCTACCTCTGAACCAAGCAAGTCTACATTTGCACGACTGAGTCTGACGATGAAAGCCTCTCTTCTTGCATGCATCCCAGCGTAACAGTTCCCTACCATAAAAATAAATCTTCTCAGCCACCGAGAGATGGATACCCGCTCCCCAACTGCTCGACACAATTGTTCTACATTCTTCTTCTTGTAGCCAATAACCAATTATTTTAAAATTCTTCTTCCTCCAACTCTGAACCGTAGGCATGATTTTAATCCATAGGGCCATATGGCCGCTCACAAGGGCTTCCACTGAAGTTGCTTGGCAGCCATGAACCTTTCCACCACTCATCATTGACCAAAATACGGTCAAGTGTCTCCTCAACTCAATGCATCGTTCCTTACCCACGTTCCCATGTCCATTGGTATCCCATGAACGAAAAGTCCCGTAATCCACTTGCCATGACACAATCCCGAAATCCTCATAACCTCCGATTCGGGTGGGGAATACACCCTTTCTTTTCTGATTCATTGAGGATGTCGTTGAAATCTCCGATGACCATCCATGGCCCCAGGCTATGATCTGCCGGTCCACGAAGTAGAGCTCACACTTCCCTTCGTCTCCTCATCTCTGGAAATCCGTAGAAGCACGTTAGTCTCCAGGGATTGTTGTTCGCCATCAACCTTATTGTACAATCAATGTACATGTTGTGCACATCATTCACCATGATTTCTGAATCGTCATTCCATCCAGGAGCTAGTCCTCCAAACTAGCCTTCACTATCCACGCCGCAACTGTGATAATATCCTTGCGAATGGAGCACCTCATTGGCTCTCTGACACCGGACTTTCGTTTCCACCACGAAAACGATGGAGGGTCAATGTCTTTGTACAATATCCATCACCCCTGGAATCGTTGTTGGGTGCCCAACCCCTACAATTCCAACTAATCAAGCTCATGTTTGTGGCAAGAATAACCGCCAGACAAGAAGAATCAAATCTCCACCGGAAAAACTCGACTAGGAGAACCCTAGACTACAGTCTACAGCCGCAGTGCCGCACACTAGTTGCTAAGTATAACAAAGATTGAAAACTATGTTCTTTTTAAGTGTATGTTAAATAAAGATTATTTTATAATATGCTCTACTCTGTATTTAATTATACAAAATATTGTATTGGGTAAAGTCAGCAGCTTCAACCCATATGACGTTAGGGGTGGACTCGGGTCCGGGCTGGGTCTGGGTCGGGCCTAGGCCCGGGCGGGCTGGCGGTTCAGGAATGGTGGACCCGGGACCGGCCCGGGTAGCCACCGGGTCCAGTCCGGGCCGGGCCTCCGGTTTGGATTTTTTTTTTGCTTTCCTAACCCCCCCCTCACCCCCCACCCTCCCAAACCCCCCCAAACCCATCCTACCCATCAAGCCCAACCCGGGTGGAACCCCAAAAATGAAAAAAAAAATAATAAAAAAATCAATTTGGCCCGGGCCCGGGCCCGACCCGGCTAGGCCGGTTCACCAAATTTGAGACCCGAGCCCGGACCCACCCTACCCCCCGGGCCTAGGCCCGTCCCAGACCCGGACCCGAGAACTGGGCCGGGCCTGTCCACGGGCCAGGTGGCCCGACCTGAGTCCAACCATATATGAAGTTAAATCTGCCAAGTTTTATAGGTGAATGGAGCACTACGTAGAAGTTTTACGATGCTAAGAAATTATTTACCTCAGAAATCATTAAAAAACATAATAAATGTTTAACGTCCAATTAACACCAAATATGGTTTATCTTGCTAACATATGTTTAACCTATCATGTGCTTGGTCAAAAGGCAATCAGTCATATGGTCAAATGGTCTGGATAAATGTGCGTAACATCAATAAAAAAAACTATTCATATTGAATAGTTGAGCTTCACTTATTCAGTGTTTATTCTTCTTTAAGTGATACATTTGCCAAGACAATCAATATTATAAATTAAATTGGCTGGCTAGCATACTTTCCAAGTTTGCTTTTGATACTAAAAAATGGGTACGTGCAGACGTGCAGTGCAGCACATCAATGAACAATGGTGATATCTGATGGTTCATTGAACATAAACGTTCAACATAGAGTTTTATATTAAAAAACATGTTCTACACTTCTACTAAGTACTAAGAATATAAAAAGATGAAATTGGCGTCACACTTGATCAAGAATTTGATTGATTGATCGGGCTAGGGTGAACAAATTCAAGTCTATCTAGAGAACCTCATTCATCAGTTTCTCAGTAAGAGCTTTTGGTAGTCCCATAACACTATCAGTTGTTCCAACCTGCTTAATGAAAGAATGTTAAGCTAATATCATCGTCGAAAACGGTAGTAGGATAGAGAGGGTTGTATACTACTGCAAAATTGTTAGTCAAGGATGGAGAACGTTTTTCTCAAGAATGATACTCAAAGAGGGGAGACATTTAATTACTCAACCTACTTATCTTTCAACATGTAGTTGCCATCTTCTAGGTTATTCCTAAAAAAAGACATCTTTCAGATAGTTCACTAGTTGCTATTTTCTTGGATCTTTCGCAAACAAAAAAGAACTTTGACCAAGGCACGACTTCTTAATTATACGGAACAGTAAGTTACCATTACTATAATCAAAGCTAGCTATATTTTAAACTTATTTACTAGTTTAGGGTTTGACTAAATTTTACATGCATGTTTAAGACACTTTTTTGGGGGAAATATTGAAAATAATAATCTCAACTATTGCCGGTCCGCTAACAATAATCCCAACTATTGATTATTATTGTATAATCCCCCAACTATATGGACCGTCCGCCAATAATGGCCCATGACCGCATATTACCTGCTCTAACAAGTGATTTTTTAATAGAAATTAAGCGTAAAAATTGAAATCCAGGATTATTTATAGGGATTATCTATTATATCTCTTTAGAAACTATAAGAATTTATTTATAATCAGTCACCTCAGACCATTATTGGCGGAAGGGCCCTAAAGTTGGGATTATTTTGAAATAATCGATAGTTGGGATTATTATGAGCGGACCGCCAATAGTTGGAATTATTACAATCAATTTTTCCCTTTTGGGGGGGAAACAAACCATTAAACATAATGCATATTAGCTACTCTTGTTCAAATACACAATTATAACAAAAAATACTTTATTTTTACATTCTATAATCAAAGCTAGCTATATTTTAAACTTATTTACTAGTTTAGTGTTTGACTAAATTTTACATGCATGTTTATGACACTTTTTTTGGGGACAAAGTATTTTTTTTTTGAGAAATTGGATTTTGAAATACTCATTGTTGGGGGGTACTACATGAAACGGAAGATGGTTCTTTCTTAGCTACAATTAATATATTGGAAGTATTAGTGTTACTTAAGGAATTTGTGTGCTAATCTGGAGATTAAAGCATCTGAAAATTTACCACTTCTTTTACACAAGGCGATACCAAGGGATGCTCGATTATGAGGCCGCCAGCTACACTAAGCACTCTTCCTTCATCAATCTGATAAAGAGAGGAAAAAAAGGAACGTTAACCTGCCTATTGTCCATATATTGATGTCCTACTAGTATAACTTAAACATCAAACCAAAGAGAACAATCTTTTGTTTTTGTTTTTTAATGTGTCCATATTCTATACTAACAAGTAACAACCAAAAGTCCAAAAGCGATTACCAGATTATCAATTGCTTCTTCTGGTATTTCGTGAAAAAAAATCTGCAATTCAGAAATTATATTAAGACTCCTACCTTGCATAATAAAACTGACAAGCATAAATGCTAACAGTCATTTACATGATGCAAAATATGTTTTGACTGGGCTAAAATGTAGAAGCCATACTTTTCTTTTACTATAATTATGAATTAAAAGCAAATCATTTGGAAGGATATTGTACCTCTACTCTGTCCCATTCTCCTCTTCTAACTCCAGTTTTCAAGTTTGAGACAAAAACAGAGGTCACGGTTGAAGCATTCCTGTCTGAGTAATCTGCCAAACTCAAAAGGTAATATTAAGAATGCCCATATTATGAACATAACTGGAGAAGGGATTGGGGCAGAAAATGAACAGACCTTTCATGAACTGCCTTGCTTCTTCTTTGCAGGATGGTTTCTCCCTCACTATACCTTCATAGACCACCACCTCCAATAATTTAAATTTAGCCGTAAGACAGTGTCAAAAGAGATCTCATTTCATCAAGTGGTGTTAAAAGTAAAGATACTCAAGGCAATAAGGAATATTTGTGACTATGTTCTTGCAATAAACTTATTCATGTGAGCTAATTTGAAGAAACACATTCTATTTTCAAGCAGAGAAGAGACACAGGGTCATGAAAAGGTGAAAGAGGTGAAGAAAATTCACTCTCAGTAATAAATATCACTAATCACCATGAACTTCATATATTAGAGTCAGACAAAAATGACAGCAAGAGAAGAAGCTGTGTATATAATATACAGCTTACATATAATATAAGCTGTGCAACAGAGGAAGATGCACACTCGTATAATATATGCACCTATAAAACTAGACAAGTGGGACGTGAATAACATACTGTATCAGCTGCAATTAGAAGTGTTGGGGTGGTATAACACTTTTGAAGTTCACCATTTTGAAGTTTTGATATAATGGCATCTGCCTGAGGAGCAATCCAATAAAACAAATCCATATTCAGCCAAGCAGTAAAAGAAGGATCATTACAATTGCGAGAAACTAAAACTGGGAAGAAAGCACAAAATACTTAATAAGGTGAAGCCAATGACACTGCATGCTGAAATGTGATAGTCATCACACTCGGATCATTTCTGATAAACAAAAAATCTGCAATTATAGCTTCTGGAGTAGTAGAATATCCAACCTTTGCCTCAGCCAGAGCCATGACTAAATCTTCCGGCTTTTCTTTCCGGATTCCTTTCTCATCTATATCTGCAGACTGCATCAAAGAGCAATCTAGAAAAGGAAGAACAGAAATCCTCACATAAAACTGTGTTAGCGGAATGTAACATCTTACCATGGTTGTGAATTCATAGCCCATATCAGCTAAAATTGCTTGACGAGATATGGAAGATGAACCCAGAATTAGCTGAACCAAGAAGTGCCATTTTCAAAACCAGATAGCGCGAAAAGCAAATTAAATGAACTTATCATCATATCATATGCGCCGATTAGATAATTCATTGGAGTGAAATGCTGAAAACCCTAACATCGACGGCTTCATCATAGTAAGTGGTATAATACAGTTTCGCAGGGCAAGGTTCATACCTTAAATTTAGGCGCTTTTTCCATTTTGTGGAGATTGGCGTCTTCGTGTTTTGCTAAGGTAGTGTTATGTTTATAGGGTCTTGTAATGGGCAGCGCGGCAACTGGGGGTAAGTTGAATGTCATACCATAGTCCTTTTTTTGAGCACCTGGCCTTATTATTATTCTCCTACAAATATGGACAGCCTCCATTCATATTTATTCCAACGAATAGATCTCTATCTCATTTAATACTTGTATAAACCAGTAGTTTTTAACCCGTGCGTTGCACATGAAAACATTTCAACGAGAATGTAAGGATTTGAATGACAATAGAACTAAAATTTAAACATTCAAAGAATAGAATTTAACATATAAGAAATGACATGAAAAAAACTATAAATTGTTATACACTTCTTTATAAACAACATTTAGAGCAATATTGCTTGATTGACCATCATCGTCACATATGACAAATTTTAACCCCGGATGGATTTGTAACTCTCGACACCGCAACCTATAATTGTCCGTGAGTAAAAACGGGACGCAGCAAAATACACCAACCCTTTCTAACGATTGTCCTTGACTCTTATTAATCGCCATCGCATAACTAACCATAAGAGGAAATTGTCTGCGCAGAAATGTGAAGGGGAGCTTCATGTCAGTAGGAGTTAAACTAAGTATGGGAATAAGATATTTTTCACCAGCATTTGATCCTGACATCATCTGAGTCTCAATAATATGAGTCCCGAGTTTAGTTACCATGAGTCTCGTGCCATTGCATAACCCAACTGTGTGATCTATGTTTCTCATAAGCATCATAGACACACCCACCTTAAGCTTCAGTTCATGTCTTGAAGGAGCTCCTGTGCAACGCACGAGAACAAACATTTCAACGAGAATGTAAGGATTTGAATGATAATAGAACTATAATTTAAACATTCGAAAGATAGAATTTAACATATAAGAAATGACATATGAAAAAAATATAAATTGTTATACACTTTTTTATAAACAACATTTAGAGCAGTATTGGTTGGTTGATCATCATTGTCACATATGACAAATTTTTACCCGGATGGACTTGTAACTCTCGACACCGTAACGTATAATTGTCCGTGAGTAAAAACCGGACGCCGCAAGAATACACCAACCCTTTCTATCGATTGTCCTTGACTCTTATTAATCGTCATCACATAACTAACCATAAGAGGAAATTGTCTGCGCTGAAACGTGAAGGGGAGCTTCATGTCCGTATGAGTTAAACTAAGTCTGGAAATAAGATATTTTTCACCAGCATTTGATCCTGACATCATCTGAATCTCAATAATATGATTCCCGAGTTTAGTTACCATGAGTCTCGTGTCATTGCATAACCCAACAGTGTGATTTATGTTTCTCATAAGCATCATAGGCACACCCACCTTAAGCTTTAGTTCATGACTTGGCACACCAGAACATTTGATGCTATTAAGAAATTCCGGAGAATGAATGTCTTGAAGGAACTCGCTATCTTAGTCAGAGGAAGATGTTGAATCGTAGCTTAAGTATGTCATTTCCTCGCCTGGAATTAGCCCCAACATGTAATCATTGATCTTGTCTCGCTCATCAATCGTAGGTGCAAGAATGGACCTAGAGTTGAGATATGAAATGTCTTCCCTATGAGTCAAGAAATCTGGATACATACTGTTTACAAGAGACTCAATGGGATCATCTGTCATCGGAGCAAGAAATTTGGCAGGTATGTGGACTTTTGATTCCCCATCCTCATTGTCTCTCAGAATACCATCGCCTATCTTCAAAATCCAATATGCAAAGCGGTCTATGTCAGTTGTGCTAGATGATCCGGTCACGTGTGCAAGCCTCATGTTCCTTGTTAGTTTCAACACCCTACAATATGACCACAAATACGATGAATTTAAAGGCGCTTGGACAATATCTTGCCTCGTTCCTTTTGGAATGACCGACAATATATGTCGAAAGTCCCTACCAAATACAATAGTTTTTCCACCGAAAGGGACAACAGCATCACACTCCGGCGATCTTTTGTGGTTTGGTGCTGTCAGTAGCTTCTGAAAATGCAACATTTATCCGATCATCGCCTTTATTTATATACTTGAAAAGATACTTGATTGATCGTGATTGATTACACCACTCCACATTGATGTGTGCTCCATACTTGAGAAGCAAAGTACGATTATGTGGGATAACATATCTATTGTCCATAGGATGGCCATTTTTCTCAACAGACCTTCCATTGTTTCTCCTCCTGTATTTTGGGTAACCATTCTTATCAATGGTCATCCGTTGGAAATTTTTTTAGGAAAATGATTCGTGCAATGCCCTTTATCCATACACGGTGAAGACATGTTCATCAGTCCACATGGCCCATGAATCATCCATTCTTTGACTGCATTATAGTAAGTGGGATCAGAATTTTCATCAAGTATCTCTGCAGATATTATTTTGTCTATATCTGAGGAAAATACATTCCTCTTCCTTTGTGAAATCCATAGAACGATATGCGCATGCGGCAATCCACGCTTTTGAAACTCTACAGTGTACACAACTGCAAATATTAAAGTAATTCTAAAATTAAATAATGTTATATTTGCATGTGGCAAAACAACTATATGATGAAACAAAGAAAGGATTTCCAACATGAAAAATTGTGAAAAACATAAATTACCTGCCCGCATGTGGCTAAACATCTTATTTTGTTTCTAATCCTTGATGAGTAGATCGAGTTTCATTTTGAATATCCTAGAAAGTATATCATGTCTATCATCAGGACTCGGTCCTCTTGGTTCCACAAAACGGAGAATTTCTGGCCACTTTGGGTTACACGTGAATGTAATAAATAATTGTGGATATCCAACCCATCTGCATATAACCATAGCATCTTGATACTTTTGCAGCATGTAACGAGCACTCCCAGTTAATGAATTCGGTAGAACAGTGAGTTGCCCTGTCCTCGATGCATTTATCTCTCCTCATCCAACAGCATATGCCAATCCACTACACAGATCACTCTGCAGTTCCTTTTGATGTTGTCTAATATACTGCAAGCGGCACGACTCAATCCTCGTATACCCGTCAACCACAAGTTGTTTGAACAATCTCTTTGTTCGCAATATATATGGGGTCTCAACCATGCGATCCTGAAATCTATATGAAAAGTACTCTCTTATATTAGCATGCTTTCTCCCTCCAATGATCCCTTCAGTTGCACGGGTCAACAACATGTTTTCTCTAAAACCGTTCTGGCCATAAGGAAAGAGAAGTGGATATTGCAACCCTAAATAAGCTGGATTTAATTCAGATATGTATTGTAAAGAACCAGACTTCGTTTGAAGAACAACACCCCTCTCTTTTTGTTCACATCAAAGTCGCCCTCTATTAAGGCAGCTACTTCGCTTACGGTGAGGGTATTGTACGTACGACCTTCTGAGTTCCTCTTGCCTATTAGCTTCATTTTCAATGAAGTCGAATTAGATTCATTGAATCTATCCCTCGCCATCCTAAAAGACTGTGCATAAACATTGCACGTGTCCAACATGTCTTTCAGTTCAGCCACCAATGTATCATGTAATGAGGTACCACCGTCACACCCATGACATGCAAGTAAAAGCTAATTAGCAATGGGCATGTAAGGAAAAATAACGAAAGTGAATGCTAATGTTTTGTGGTGTGCTTAAAAATAATCCATAAGTGTGTAACCACTAACCTGACAGATGCAATTCTAAATGTGATCTTTTCGCTTGGGTCAGATAAGTACATCTGCAAGAATTTTGGTTGATTCCCATCAGTAAGGAGAAGGATGCCAATTCTGTGGTAATTTTGCCCATTCAATCTGAATATCGGTGGTGTTCCCCCTTTATTGACCTCCATGTCAACTTTTCCACCCAAGGAAGTGAAAGAAAACATACAATTATATGACCTGATGTTTTCAAGGAAATGTCTGTTGCGTTCATCGTTCCCAAAAATCAAATCATACAAAAAATTAGGTGGTTTTTGCATCTTAGGATGTATAACCTTCGCTTGATTGCAACACATGGAGAAGTTGGGTCTCTGTTTGACTAATTTCTCTTTACTCTTTCAGCATGCCAAAAAAAGTGCTCCGCAGTACTCGCACTCGTAAATATCATCATGGAGATCTACATAGTCTGAAAAAAGGTAATGATGATTAATTTTACATGATAATAATTACACGTGACAATGTTATGTATATAAGTATATGATATGTTGATACTACATGCACACACCTTCTGTCGAGCATATTGCATATTTTGCATCCTCCTCTGCAAGAATCCGTAGTAATTGGACAACATAATTAAGGGTTACTAATTAAGATTGCTAAGACATACAAAATTTAAAAAATATTATAACACAAATATTCACCATCAACAGGTAATCCTTCATCATCATCGAACTGTCCATCCATTTCATTCTCTAAATGGTCACCTGTGAAAATGGCATTTATGTATCAATATGAGTAAAAAAGTGTTTTAGGCGATTATTTACCAAAACGTGTAATAAAAATGGAATGCTAATTGCTTGCCTTCGTTGTGATTGTTGCACTCAAATCTTGGTGTGTCCTTCATACTTGCTGAGTTTTGAATACGTCCTACAAACATGTTCGACTCAAATAAAACGTAGTCATCTTCAGGTAATAGGGACATTCCAAAACGCCATTCGCCAGTACTTTTTTGTCATACACTTGTAGTGCTATTATTTGATATGGCTATTTTTGAAATGTTTAATGAAAGAATTAGATCATATTTATGGTAAATATGAAGACATGATTGAATAAATTGTTACCATTTGTGATATCCTGTAATGGATTCCTTTTTTAGTTTGGAGATGATGGAGTGTTCATTTGAAGATTTGTGTCATTTATAGAGCGGTTTAAACTCTCGACAACCTTCTCATGAGTACCTTCTCCATCATGTGTTTCATTTGTCGTTGGACTTACGGATTCGTATGAAGACCGTGGTCTTTTGCCCAATATGATGGTTGATTTTGTCAACTTCTTCATCTAGAAGAAGACCTATATAATTCATATTTAATTTGACTTAGAATTTAAGATAAAAACTCTTAACATAATGAACAAACTTTAAATTATTTGTTATGTATCAATTTTGCAGCATTTTATTATACTACCTCCGCCCCAAAATATATTTAGCCAAATTCAAAACTTAGACAAATTATATATATTTATTG